TTACTTGTCGTGTTGTGATGTCATGTGACCAAGAAAAATAAGAAGCTAAAGAAGAAAATATATCCAACATTTTTATATGGATATACTAATCATATTGGATGCAAAGTCAAGAAAGCCAAATTTATGTGGCATTTGAGGCAATGGAAGCTTGGTCAATATAAAAATTATTTCAAGTCTCTAGCGGTACTTAGATACGATAAGTATAAAATGTCAAGTAAGTATTTTAAATATTGAATTATTAAAATACTTTGATTTTTTCTCTATATATTTGACATTCACTTTTGACGATGAGACTATGTGATAGTTGTGATTGCAAGTAAATTTACATTTTGTTATGGATATTTATTGATCCATGCATAAGTGTTTAATCTAAAAAAAAAACAAAAACAAAGGGGGAAATGTGAATTATCATATAAAATATTTTTATTGAATATTTTGTTAATTAAATATTACTAAAAGGTTGGTTGACATTATTGATTTATTAATATTTGAAAGATCATGTATTAATATAATTATGATTGAAAGCTAATTATTTTTATTTGATTTCTGTTGAAGTTGTCATTATAATTTATGTTTAACAACCATATCCAATTGTGGAAATAAAAAAAATTATGAAAATAATAATTTTGTTTGCTGATTATTAGTAAGATAAATTGGCAAAGTACATGAATTAATAAAGAGCTTATCATGTAATATTTTTCTATGTGGAAAATAAAATTTGATATGTTATTTTATTTGAGAGAAGTATATCTTATTGATTGGTAGGCCACATGAAATAAATTGTGAATGTTGATGATGAAATAATAGAATAATTCGTGTCATTGCTTTGTCTATAATGGTAGCAAGAAAATTATTCGCTATGTGAATAATGGGGGCATAAAAAATGCTATTGTATTAAAATTTTGTTTGAGAAAATTATTATGTAATTCAAGATAATTATCATAATTCTCTTGTGATGATAAATTATCGATCATAATTTTTCTTATGATGTTTGAATTTTTTGCCACATGTAAATTTTTAATGTGATGCCATTGGAAACATTTATAAAAGTATTCCTATTATACAAAAGGTATAATGATACTTTTGAAATATTTATAAAAGCATTCCTACTATATACAAGGTATAATGATGCTTACGGAATATTTGATAAAAGCATTCCTATTATACAAAAGGTATAATGATGCTTATGGAATACTTGACAAAAATATTGAGAGAATTGATGGAATTAGTGACACTCTTATTGTATAATTATGGTACAATGGTGTTTTGATGATATTATCCGATAAGTGAAATTAGAGACACTCCTATTGTATAATTAAGATACAATGATGTTGTAATGATATTGTCTAATAAGACAATTAATGATATTTTGAGAAATTTAAATCTCTAGCTAAATATTGACATTTCTATTGTATAGATGAGATACAATAATGTTAAATTTTTATGAGAAACTAGAGATTAGAAAATGTCCATATTCACCTCAATGTGATTATGTTAAATGTTTTCCATTGTATTAAAAAACATATATAATGATGTCATCATGCTTTAACATGATGATGATGATGATGCGAGAAATAAATAAAAGTAATGATTGTCATTGGCTAGTGTGTGTGTGGTGAAACTTAAATTGGCTAAAAAGCTTAAGCCAAGAAAAAAACAAATGGATGCTAGTGAAGAAAACAAGTGGATATTATGCTTTGTTTGAAGAGAAAATAGCAAGGATGAAAAATTCCTACCACTTGTCTTAGCACTAATAAACTAATTAAGTGCTAGTTACCTAATCCTTTGGATGTATATTAAATATTGTGGAAGTAAATCTTTAGCTAAAGTCAAAGGATTAGATGATACATCGATATGGATACTCTACCTAGGGATTGGAGATCCCAAGAACTAGGTTCAAGGAGAAAAACAAGTATAGAGTGGTTTGACTATATGCACAATTTATTTGAGTTTCAATACTCATATGTCTATCCCTATGATGTAATGCATGAATCCCATAACGAAAGAGAGGTTAAGTTTCTTTAAATGAAACTTTTAATGTGGTCTATAGTTTTTTTTTGAATGGGATGTTAAAGTTATGTGAGCATCCTTGATAGACACACCTATATGAGTGAGGAAGTGGAGTCGCTTCCTATGAGAATCGGGCTAATTCTCTAGAACACTTATAGAAGCCGGGATCAAGCACAAGGCCATTAATGTGCCGGCTCGAAATTAATCGCAGAATACCTAAATATAATATGTGTGATACAATATTTGTTTTACTTAAAAAGCCTTAGTTCAAGTCAATATTCACTATTGGCTTGAGAGAAATATTGTTGAAACACTAAGTAAGGGTTCAAGCTATTGGCACCCTTATTATGTATTATGTTCGTTTACTTACCCAAAAACATTGCTTATATTTTATTAAAAAATAAGTAGGGGACTCGTTGATGTATTTTTTAATAAAATGTTAAAAGATATGTTACTTATCATTTTTTTTTTTACTATTATGGAAATAGTATAAATGCAATATTAAACAGAAAACTGTTACTTACCGTTTTTTTTTTTTAATTGCAACCGTTTTGTTTTTTATTGCAATAAATAGCTCTTTTGTTGGAGCTATATATATGTGCCATGTCTTGGCAACCTGGAGCAGTATGTTTTATACTTGTTTTCTTGACAAAAAAGCATGATATACTTTTGCTAAGGAAAGGAAAATATGCAGCACTTCTCTTGCTTTGTTTAAACCAAAACATTTGTTTTATTTTTTTAATCTTCCACTATAAAAAAAAGAGCCATATAATTTTTATTAATATTATTTTTGGGTAAGAGTGGTGCTAATTTTATTTAGAGTTTCAAGTTTTATAAATAGTGCAAATTTGTTAAAACACAACAAAGTGATCGAGCTTGTTGTATCCCCGAGATGGTGTGCAATATATTCTTGATATGTTGCATCGGATAAATTCCGTGGATGACGCATATCGTCTCAAGAAAGCAACTTGGTTGTGCCTCGAGCTAGTCATCTAAAATTATGGGAAAACTATTTTGGTGGTTCGGTAATCTTTATACTACAAAATATGATAATGTGATTTTAATCATTAATTTTTTTAATTATCAAGGTAAAAATTTCAATTTCTTTATTTATTTTAATTTAGAATAAATTTATATATTTGTGTCAATATTATTAATTAATTATGTTCCTTTTGTGTGCTAGGAACAACACTAGTTGATGGCTAATTTTCATGGAAATTATGCAATTAGCGATCCCGAACCCAAAAAATAGTGACGAAATCAAGAGTCCCTCGCTAAACCATCTCTAAAATACCGGTGAATATTTTGCTACCAAACAAAGCGATGGATATCGATCTCTCGTTGAAAATCTATTGCTAATCCGTCAGCATTCCGTAGTTGAGGTCCACACCTCGATAATAATCATCGTTCGTTCATTGATCCGTCGCTAATTTTTATCGCTATTTCTTGATTTTTTTTATAGTGATTTATAATATAATAAAATTTTGGACGATTCTTGATGTTATGCTATTTTGTTGTTCATTTTTGCCTAAAGAATCATGATCTAATCTCATCATTGATATTACAAATATGTGCTCAATTTCATTGCTTGCCTTCATTCTTAATCATAAATTTTCGATCGACATGCTTGCAAGTTAACGTTATATAAGTTGTTGTATACATTATTTCGAACGGCTTGTTTTTTATTCCTCAATTACAATATTTAATTAAGAGCTCTAGCTCTGGTGAGTTTCTACCATCACACGTAAATGCCCTATGATCTATTATCCACGGGCTACGTATAGAGTTAGATCTTGTGAATTGGATGAAAAAAAAAAAAAAGACAATTAAAGACGGTTTTTTTTTTTTAGAATGAAAGAATTATCAGTTGTTCGTCAAAGCCTAATGAATTTTTATTTATTAATTTATAATTTTAAAAAAAAATTAAAATTTTTTAGTCAAATCCTAATTAATTAATTAAAATATTTATGTTTTTTTTAGAAGAGTTAAAATATCCATGGTAGGAAGCAAATATCACTAAAAAAAAGTATCCTCTATGCATGTGTTGAGTCTAATTAAGTTTCAGGTTTTTTTATTTTTATTTTGCCATAAGCTTTAGGCAAGACAATGGCGATTTAGCTTTCCTAATGGCTAAAATCCCCAGCCCAATTCTCTAAACGTTTGAGCTTGTAATATATAGCCTAACAAAAATTCTAACTTTTAATCGCTAGAATATATATTTCTTTGAAAACAAACTACATTTAATTTAGCTTTTTTGGGTTTGTCTCCTTCCTAATCGATCCTTGAAGGAAAACGAATGACTACGTACATCCATCATCCTATGTACGTTTGTCATTATGGTGATTAAACGTCTAGACCAAAATCTCAAGCTCTCTCTGTCTCTCTTAGCTCTCTACGGATAGAAAGAGTATCTGATCATCAGTTCTTTGGTCGTTTTATTAAGGTATGGACTTTTCGGAGTCATGAAGATCTTGTCTCTATATAAAGTTGTCTGGTATGGTGACCCTATTTTCACGACTGTCACAGCATCAGCTGTGGGTGTTGATGCATGGCTTTCTCTCAACCTGGCTATCCATGATATAAATTGCCTTTCCAATGCACTGGACTGGGTTGGATCCTGTGGTAAATAATAATGTAGTACTATGGAGTTAAAGAGGATAAATTAAATAAGTTGATAGTAGTCGTAGTTAATGTGATTTTTTTGTTGCAATTTTGCATGTGATCTTGATTTTAATGCAGTCTTTTAGAAAGCAAAAATTGGAATAATTCATAAACCATTAGAAACAAGAAATTTATCCACCATTGAAGATACGATGATAAATACAAAAATCAATGTTCTTTCCTCTGAAGTTCAAGTGCTGACTAAAAGTCAATCACAAATTAATTTTAAAGGTTCCTCTTTTGTTATGCTAATATTTTTTATTATTATTATAAGATGCATAAGCAAAACATTCAGTTGCTGTGCCGTGCCTATCCCACCCCCACAAACATCACCGCTTGAGTTGTCTCCTGGCCAAAGGAGGGGTTTTCTTCGGAATGTAAACCTTGTAATTCACCTGCCATCAAAAATAAGAAAAAATCGATCTTTCGATTACTGCAATAACCATTTTTCACAGCCTACGTTATCAAAGAAACTAATTTAACAAACCTAGGACAGGTTGAAGCACTTACCTGTACCATTTCCCCACCACGCATCACGGACATTGTCTTCTGTTCCAACTGTGAGCCTTCTTTGCCTTCATCTTGCGATTTATTCAAGCTAACATCTCCTGCTGCAGATGTAAGGCAGGAAGAAGGCTCGGCAGGAGCAGAAACAGAGGCTTTGTCATCATTGTCATTGCCTGGGGGAGAGGTGACAGTGTGAGCACCATCTGTTGCGTTCTTACCTACATTACTCCCACTCACTAACTTAGCCTGATTGGCTTCCAACGAAGCAGGTGTCTCTTTCAGTGTGGCACTCTTACCTATGCTAATCCCGCCGACCAACTTTGCCTGATTTGCTTCCCGTGAAGCAGGTGTTTCTTCCTGTGACGCAGGTGTTTCTTTCAGGGTGGTGGAAGCATTTGATAACGCTTGCCTCAATGCTGATGTAACCAACCGTGGTTTGTTTTTACTAGAACTAGCAATTGTACTAACCTTGTCTCTGCCAGGAATAGCAACCTGGTCAGGTAGATGAACATTATTCTTAGCAGAGCTAGATTCACTGCCACAAATCTCTCCATCAGTGATCTTCTCATTTTGCGAAGAATGAGCATAATCTTCTCTCACCATTCTAGCACCATCACCTTTGGTGGGGGATTTAATTTGGCCTAGTTCAGGCATCGAAGGGGATGGTGCCTTCACTGTACCATCAAACTTATCCTTCTGAATAACAGCACTCTGAGCATTTCTTTGGAACCCTCCAAGTCCACTTCGGAAACTTTTCAGATTTTCCAAAGCCCTTTGTCTTAAAATTGTCTCCAGATCATCGCCATTCACACTATCAACAGTGACCCTTGAAGCCTCATTCTTTTCCTTTTTAGTATCATTTGTCCCAACCTTGTCAATGTCATAGCCAAGCTTATTTCTAGTAAGTTGACCCTCTCCAACCTTCTCACTTTCTGTGAGTTCAACGGCTTCAATATTGAAAGCAGCATCATCTTTTATTTTCTCATCTTCTATAGGCCTTTTCTCCATGTTGTTTAACCCTTCATTACTATCATTGCTTCTAGAAGAAGGGTAATCATAATGATCATATGTTATCTCCTCTTTATACTCATTCTTGTCCAGTTCTCTTACCTCATTATCCTGCCCTGGAAGAATAATAACAGACCTCAGCCGCTTTGAGGTGTTCTCACCAATTATTGCATCTGATGTCAAAAAATCATTATTTCCATCATGTCTACTACATGAAGAACAGCTTCCTGATCCGTATCTCCTCCTTTTATCTCCACTTCTAATATTCGCCAATTTTCTTTTTTCATCCTCTCTTCTATCTGGCCTGCCCTTATGCCTCTTGTATTCACTCACATCACTCTGACTACTAGGACTCTGACAAGTAGAACAGCTCCATGTTTCACTAACACTTGAATCTCTCCTGGCCTTCTTCTTCCTCCTCTTCTTTGTCTTCTTCTCGTGTGTTTTCTTCCTTTCATCATTTCTTTTGGACCCTTTTCGCTTTCTCAAATGAGGAGACTCCTCAGTACTCAAAGACCGAGCACGAGCCCTCTTTTACTCCCCTTCACATCCTTTCTAGTGCGAGACCTAGACCTTCTAATTCTGTAACTATCCTCAGAATCAAACGAGGAGACAGACAGTGAACTTCTTGAATCAACATCGGAATAAGACTCCGAATCATCACGACGCCGCAGCTTCTTTGATTTACTTCTCCTGGTATCTTTTCTCTTCCTTGCACGACCCTATACGTGCAACATACATTAGAGGCACAGACATAAAAAGGATTCAAACAAAAACAAAAACCCATGTACACCAAATCAACAACCTCCAAAAACTCAAACCTAAATGTTACTGATAATGCACATGAAATCCCAAACAGGAAAAAGACAATTCTCTACACTTAATGAAGAACCTAATAAAGGACAAATCTTTCAACAACCCAATTGAAGTTGCTGGATGCAAAACACAAAACTGAGCAAAGAAATCGAAAAAAAGCACACAAAAAGAAGAAAACCCTTGATAGCAAAGAAGAATTGAATACCGAATTAAGAGAATAATACCTGAGAGGAATATTTGGCGCGTTTCTTTTTAATAGAATATTTTCCCATGATAATCACCTGCAAGAAACAAAATTGAAATCCACAAAAGAAAATAATAAAAAGAGGAAAAGGAGTTAATTAGCAATATGAAGGAAAAATGAAGATAGGATTTTCGATTGAATTAATAACAATAATAATCAAGGGAAGAGATAGATTGGGTCTCTAAGTAGCAAAAACAAACGACAAGTTAGTGCAGTTCTTTCTTTTCTTTGATTGCTATTGCTGGGGATTTTGATTTTATTAGTATTGGAGAGATCTTATCATAGTGTTGGTGCTGCTGCTGTTGTAGACGGCTAGTCGTTTATTCATTGATTAAAGCACCTTGGGTTGTGTTTGTTTAGAAAAAAACAAGTTCTAGGAATTTGTTTTTCTTATTTTTTAGTGTTTGTTGAGTTTAGGAAAAAATTCAACAAAAATTTATTTTTAATCAACAGAAAATGATAAACTATTTTTGAAAAAATGTTTTTCCTATTTAAAAAGAGGAAAACATTTTCCTTCTCAAGAGTCGTCTCACTCTCGCGTTACCTAACTATCTCTCGATATATTTTATCAATTCTTTTCTTTATCTTCTTTTTATTTAAAATATATCAAATTAATTTTTAATTATTCCTTATCAATTATTATTTTTATTTAATTATTTTTGTCTATTTCTACTGATATTTGATTTTTTGATTTATAGATACATTAAATATGCTTAAAAACCATTTTTACACCTTAAAATTATTTTTATAATAAATATTTTAATAATTTATCTTTTTTTTATTATTATCTCAAACACCACTTATACTATACTTAAATGATTGAAAATAATTATTACAAGACTATAACTTTTTGTCAAAAAATTAAAATTAATTAATTCGGTAATAAATACGTTATTTTCTCGACACTATTCATTTACAACTAAATCAATAATTTATAATTTTAATCGATTGTAAACTTTTGTTGGTAATTGTAGTGAATAATTAGTTACAAATTATTCCAATATTAATCTTTTGAAACAAAATGAATAATTATCTACAAATGATAACTAATGATTTATAAAATTATTTTTTAGACTAAATTATCGGTTCAATTTTTAAAAACAAAGAAAGAATTCTTAATTGAGTTACCAAAATAACAATGCTAGGATTAGTTAGAATTTTTTTTTTTAATTAAATGTGAATATTGACTTGATTTTGTCCCAAATAATTTTGATAAATTGGTTTGATGGTTAAAAAAGTACATTTTATTTTTTTGAATTAAAATTTTAGGATCAGTATTTATGAAAATTTATTAAATTTTTCTAAATATATCTTATATTGTAAAATTATGAATATGCCTTTTTGAAAATTTTTTCAAAACTTATTGATGTAACAATCAAATACTCGTTTTTGTATTTTAATTTTTTGTATCAAACAAAGGTCGAAATATATTTTCTAGCGAGCTTTTTCATATAATTGTCAAACGATAGAAAATATTTTTTTGAAAAATAATTTTCTGAAAAATAGCTTACTTAGGAATTGATTTTTCTTATGAAAGTTGTTTTTCACCAAACAAACGAGCATTAATTGCACTTGTTATATGCTTTGAATGTATAAAAGACAAGTCCTTTTATTTCCTTGGTTATATTTGGTATAATTATATATTGTAAATTGATTTAAGTTGATTTTTAAATTTTGAATTAAACAAAAATTATAAATATATTTGATTAAAAATAATTTTTAACTTAAATTGAAAATTTATTATAAAATTGAACCAAAATTTTACTTTAATCAAAAATTAAAAATTTTAACTTTTAACTTAATTATGGATTCTAATTTAGAATTCGTTTAACATGACTTCTAGCTTTGAATCATAATTTAAAATTTATTTCTTATAAGTAATTTTAAAAAAAAATGAGTTAAGATAAATTTAAGTTTGAAGTATGTGTTGGTAAAAATAACCCAAATTAATTTTTTTTAATAAAGAAATTAGTATAAGCTATAATTCATATAAGCTAAAAGTTAATATTATATATATATATATATATATATATATATATATATATATATATATATAACTTTTGATTAATTCAAAAATTTCACTCAAATTTTATTTAAAAAAATTATTTAAGTTAAAAGTTATTTCCAATGAAAAAATATTTATGACTTATCTTTAAATAAAAAGTTAAAATAAACAATTTGCAAAAGAAATACCGAACATAACTTTATACTATATTCATTGTTTAAAATTTTGTTTTAAATCATTTTTACCTCATATATTTCTAACTCATTTTTTTATAATTTATTTGTGAAATATAATTTTTTTTATTATAACCTAAAATCAAAATTCATGTCAAACAAACTCTTAATTAGATACATTCCATAGACCATTTTTAGATTATACATATAAGTAGGAAGGGTATATGTAATGGTTTCACCTATAGCTTTTTTGGATCAACACAAGGTACTATTTTAGCTTTCGGATGGACAAAACCCACTTTGTATTGAAAAAAAAAATCTCACATTTGGTGATCATAGAAATCAGAAATCCACACGTTATTAAAAAAAAAAAAACAAAAAAAACAAAAATGAATCCAAAATAACCAATTAAATCTGTATAGTAATAACTTCTCCTTGGGGAACATACAATTCACGACATAGACAAGACATTCGGGTTGGGTTTATCTGGGAGAAAATAAGTTTCAAGAACTTATTTTTTTTATTTTTTTGTTTTTTGATATTTGTTTCACGTTTAGAAAAAAATCAACGAAAAATGATAAAGTATTTTTGAAAAAGTGTTTTTCGAATTAAAAAAGAGAAAAATATTTTTCCTCTCTCACGAGCTATCTCGCTCTCATGATTACTCACATCTCTCTTGATATATTTTAATAATTTTTTCTTTGTCTCCTTTTTATTTAAAATATATCAAATTAATTTTTAATTATTTCTCATCAATTATTATTATTAATTATTTAATTATTTTTCTCTATTTCTACTAACATTTGATTTTTCGATTCATAAATACATTAAACATTCTTAAAAACCATGTTTACACCTTAAAATTATTTTTATAATAAATATTTCAATTATTTTGTCTCTTTTATTTTTTTATCATTATCTCAAACACCACCTAAACTATACTTAAATTATTGAAAATGATTATTACAAGACTGCAATCATTTGTGAAAATTTTGAAACTAATCAATTCATTAATAAATACATTATTTTTTTAATACTATTTATTAGCAACTAAATAAATAATTTGTGACTAATTTTAATCAATTGTAAAATTTTGTTGGTAATTGTAGCCAATAATTAGTTACAAATTATTCCAACATTAATTTTTTGAAACCAATTAAATAATTATTTACAAGTAATAAATAATAATTTATAAAATTATTTTTTAGACTAAATTATCGGTTCAATTTCCAAAAAGAAGAAGAAGAAGAAGAATTCTTAATTGAGTTACCGTAATAACAATGCCGGGATTACTTAGAAATTTTTATACTAAATGTGAATATTGACTTGATTTTGTTCCAAATAGTTTTGATGAATTGGTTTGATGGCTAAAAATATACATTTTATTTTTTGATTTTTTAAATTTAAATCTTACGATCAGCATTTATAAAAATTTATTAAATTTTTCTAAATGCATATTATATTGTTAAATTGTGAATAGACCTTGTTGGAGTTTTCTCAAAACTAGATGATATAACAATCACAATCGGTTTTTATATTTTAATTTTCCGTATCAAACAAACGCTAAAATATATTTTTTAATAATTTTTTATGTAATTATCAAATGTCAAATAATATTTTTTTGAAAAATAAATTCTTAAAAAATAACTATTTAAAATTGATTTTTTTTATAAAAATTGTTTTTCGTCGCATAAACGAAGGTCAAGTTGCAATAAAAGCTGTCCAATAATGAGCCGGGTCAAACTAAGACGGCATGTATCCATATGTAGCAATGTCTTGAGTTTATGTTGGTTCCATTTTGAGTTCCTGAAAACTCAAGACACTAACCACTCTGACCTTAAGGTATTGCTTTCATTTGCAAAGGGCTGGAACCGATGAGCCAAGGAACGACTACTTTGACCTCAACACAGCAAGTTTTGAACCTATCATCACTATAGCTCCTTTTTTAAGGAAGAATTTAAAGAATCGGCTATTAAAAGCCTCTCCCTCTCTCTCTCTCTCTTTTATCCTTTACGGTATCTTAAACCTAAAAGTCTAAATTAATCTCTTTCTATTTTATAGAGTGTCCGAAACAAAAATAGTTAGTCAAAAAAATTTTTACATATATAAAGATTTAAACACAAAATCACTTATTTAAAGGACTAGAACGTCTTTCACTAAAATCAATCTTTAATGAATGATATACATCTTTGGTATGAATTACATAACATAGAAATAGATGAATAACAGAGGTTTAAGAGGTAATTAAGAAAATCATACCAAATAATTATAATGATTTTTTTATTCCATGCACACTCGTCGTAATTAAATTCACTATGCTGCTTATACCTTGTGGTAAGTGGTATTAACTGAAAAAACTATTGCTTTTTTTCGCTAATAAAATAAAGAATTAACTTCACTCCACCAAAATTGATCTTCTACCAATCCAACCTGTTAGACTGTCAGTAAGTCCATTGATCCACTGACTAATTCATTCTGGCCCTTTTCCTTTTGATTGGTGTAGTCACAGCTGGAATTCTCCTCCAATTGATCACAAAGCAAAGTTTTTTTGTATCTATTCTTCGGAACATCCACAGAGTAACAAAATCTTGGTTTTTTCTCAATTGATGCTCATGAAAGAATGCTTTCCACCCTACGGTAAGGACATGAATCTTGGACGACCAAGTCTTAAACACCATCTCAAATTCCTTGCCATTAGGGTCATAAGTAGTCACCTTAATTCCATCAGCAAGATTCTCATCGTCATTCAGCAAAGGGTAGAGGTAATCTTTTGCATCTGCTTTGTTTATCGACAGCCTACTTTGATCATCCCTCAAATCACTCTCTGTTAACTGTTTTTCAAAAGGCGAACTACATTTTCCGATTAACCCAGTTAACCCTGGAATTGAAGGGACTTTAGGAGGATCGTAATTATCAATAAGCCCGAGAGTTTGTTCTAAGCTTAGTAGTGGTGGCTGTCCTGGCAAGTTTCTGGCAGCTGCATTATTGTTGTCTTCACCTTCTTGATCGTTTCTTCTTAAGACTTCTTGGTCATCAGTAACGCTTGAACGCTTTCTGCTGGAATATGAGTTCTGGTGCTTCTTTTCACTCCCAAAGATACTGCTTTTCAATTTATCCAAAGCCAAACCAGTTTTGTAAGTAACCCTTGTATGGGTTAGACAGGAAAGAATTAGAGCAGCTGCTCCTTGCTCTTTTACTTCTTCAGGATAATCGTCTTTGTTGATTTCTTCCATGATTAAGTTTTGAGGGAGATTAATTTATGGGAGAGTGGCCAAGAATAACTACAGAAAAAAGAAAAAATAAAAAAATATTAGTTAATCAATTTGCCTTTACATTGTTAGGAAGTCGATCTTTTAATAAAATAAAAGGGAATTGAATTTCTTTATATGGTTTGCCGTAATCTGCTCTCTCCTTATTAGAGATACCTCATTGCAGTGAGGCTTTATTATCAATTCCATTAGCTAAACTAATATAAACTGTCAAGAAATTCTGAACTAATTAAGAAAAATAAACTCTCAATAAATTATTAACTGCAGTTTTGTTCCGAAATTACAAGAGATAATCACACTAATATAGCAGCAATCCTATTTTTTTTTTTTTTTAAAGGATCATACTCAAAAGATTGGAGAACTAAATTCAATGTCAAATAATACAGAGTTAATGAACCAAAAATAAAAATAAATAAAAACCTAATACAGTGCTCATGAAGATGGCATACCCGTAGAAGAGGAGTCTCTAGGCACTTTTGGAGGAAAAAGAGGGCTAGCTTTCTTCTCAACTTAGGAAGATCACAATTGGAAAAGTTCTATATATATATATATATATATATATAGCACTTCTGGCCGAAGAAAAAGAGGGGAAGCTTTTTTCTCCCTAAGGAAAGATTACAGTTGAGAGGAGTTATATATATGGGGGATTTAGAGTAAATTAGATGACTACAAAATAGGCTTTAACATTAAACAAGAAATATTAAACTTGAATTGGAAATTAATTAATTTATTTCTTTCCCTATTTAGTTCTTTCTTGGTTCCCAAGAAAGAAGCTGAAGCCTTTTCTCGTACTTGACTAAAATGGTACGACAACGAGTGGGATAAGGTACAGTTGGGTTTGCTCATTTTGCTTTTATCGTTGTATCTCATTGGCGATCGATAATTTTTTGTGTAATAAATGACAAAGGGCCCTTCTTTCATGCGGATGTTAAATAATCACCAATTAATTAAAAAAAAAAGTGTTGATTAAAAGTTGGTAGATTTGCACTCAACTTCTAAAACTGGGAAGGGCTTGCGTTATTTAGTTGAAACAGGGAATTGTCGTGGACGTGGATAAGAGCAAAACGAGTTGTGGAGGATAAGGATATACAGGAGTAGAAGGTTTGTATTTCATGTAAAATAGCACGAGCCCTTCCCATTTTGAGACGTTAAATGCAAATCTACCAACTTTTAAATAACCTTTTTATCGAACCTAAATCCTTTCTAATATTGGAAGTCAATAACTCCAATTGAAACTTTTACTGCAAACCAGAAATATTGGACCATTAATCTACGGCAGAGATTTTCATTTGTTACAAGATTAAGACCTCAAAAAGGAATTGCTGTATTAGTTTAGGAGGTTTGTTCCCTTCTGGCTTGAAGATACCCTCACCGTGGATTTTTTTGTTTTTTTTTTAAAAAAAAGAGATTAAATTTGGATAGAAATAAAATAGTTACATTAATTACTTGTCCATCAGAATTAAATAGATCCCTGGGACTCCACTTGATATATAATTACAGTGTAGACACACACATTTATACACAAAAAAGAAGTGCTTCCGCAATAGATCTTAAGCATCTCCAGAAACACTCATTCAGGAGGAGTGTCAATAAAGAGTTCCGTTGAGAAGTCCATTTCACCAACAATCCTGCCTCTGTTTGATAGGCATATGCATGCATACATACATGAAATCAGTGCCAGTAAGAAATTTGAAACCAATTTCATAATGTAAGAGCTTAAGTATACCTTTCAAGGACAAACTTCCCTTCTTTGTACTTTTGGCTCTCCTCAGGTGCTGACTTCTGTTTAGGAACGATTGGCAAATTAGGGAACCCATGATCTTGTTTAACAAAAATAAAAATGGACTTGAGGCATTTACAGCCAAACCCTTATTTAACCAACCATATTTCAAAGGGTTATTTTTAAGGGAGAGAGAGATTACATATTTCCACCCAATAATTCCTCCACAACAGCAACAAAATATATCAGCTACAGTATGCAATCCTGAAAGCATCATTCTCTCCTCTAAGGCTCCGACGCTGATGTTCACCCTGAAATCACAAACTCCACAGTACGCATCAATAGAAGAGATAAAATTACTCAAGACTAGAAGAAATCTTTTTCCTCATATCAGATCAATTCATAAAGAATTTGATAATGAAATTTGTGTGTGTGTGTGTGTGTGTGTGTGCAGGTAAGGGGATAACTATCATATATAATCTTAACACAAGTACTTTCAAAAGGACAATATTGCATAGTTGATGGAATATTTAGTGTTGATATCAGTTGCATCCCAGGGGATGGCCAGTTGTTTATATGACCAAATTTTTTGCCACTGATATGCCATTCACGTTCTTGTCAACAATCATAGAAATAGATGATCAAGACCTTGAGCTCCGAGCAGTGATCACTTTCCACAAGAAAAAATGGTAGCAGTGCTTAAATTAAAAATGCTGGGACAAATTCAATCTTGAATTAAGGATAGGAATTAAAAGGCTTCAGCAGAAAATCTTGGTATCAGGACTTTTTCAGATGGTTAAACTTTATCCATGAACTAATCACCATCTTGATAACCAAGTACCCCTCCTCTCCTTGTTTGACTTTAATTTCCTTTTTCTATGCTTAATTGAAAGATATTCATCCTAAATTGTCCTTGTAATCCTTGACAAGTGGCACATTCAAATTTCATTGACTCAAAAGGAAAGAACAGAAGCTACAATGAGAATACAAAATTAGAAGAAAGCATTTTCGGTGTGCAATTAGTTACAACTGGTCAACAATAAAAATTACCTCGCTATTTTCTGTCAAACTTTGTCCTTAGACAGAAAAAATAAATCAACAGTTGGCATCCAATCCAAAAAATTTAAAAAAAAATCAAAAAATCCTAACAAGTTGGTTGCCTAGTCTTTGGAAGCAACTCTGGAAGAAAAACAAACCATTAAATGGATCAATCTATGTTCCAGAAAATACCATTGATATTCATATGGGTAGAAAAAATCACGCCTGCCATGATTTTTAAAACAGAATAACATTAATACAAATCAGGACATCCTGATAGTAACCATCAAAGAAGCACATATGGTTGTTGGAGGGGGAGCACATTTTCAACTGTCATTTGTTATTAAATCTCCCGTGGTCGTTCAAGAAATCTTTTTATCTTTTATTGTTATCAATAACTTTATATCCTCTCACTATTTATTAGATTCCACTTTGTCTTCAATCGTAGTGTTTTGTGGAACAGGTGTTTAATATAAACTCTTGAAGATAAAAGTATTCATTTGTTCACAGACAACAAGGGAAGTTATATTTCAAGCAACACAGCAACAACTCATAACTTTGAAACAACAGCACAAGAGCAAATGCCTGATGCTGTCATTCCTCTGAAAATTTTAGAGAGACAGGAAGAATAAAGTACTGAAATTTCAATGGTAGTGAGCATGAAATTAACAATCTATGCTTGAGAATCGATGAACTCATCACCCCAGCTAGTTATTTTCTGGATTTTTTAGTACCTTCTTCTGTACATGAATTGTAATTTGCACCCTTTTTCCTGCTATTAGTGCGTTATTGCTTATCAAAAAAGCCAAGAAAAATGAAATTACTAGTGAAAGCGAATGAGCAGCAGGAAAAAAGTTTGAACTTTGGAATTTTCATCGCAAGAACATAAAAATTTTCCAATGCTAGCAGCAAAAGGAGGGAATTAAAGTGGATAGGGGGTTTAAAGGTAGGAAACTCAATTTCAGAAATCTAAGACCCAAAACAGTGAAAGCAGTAGATAGAGCTCTAGCTTGGAGAGAGCCTTTCATGTCTTTCATGATCCAGCCAACAAAGCACACAGGCTGAAAAGGCCATAGTAATATTAATGCTAACTATGCCAACTGCAAAACTTGAATCTTGGTTGATGATTGAAAATTTTTGGGTTGCACTGCACTCCAGCCACAAGTCTTAAAATATTATCTAGAAAACATGAAATTAAGTAATCCAACCAGGCGCAAATCGATATCAAATAAAAGATTAAAGCTTTATAAACAGAACATTAAAGAAATCGTTAACTAATCAAAATTCAAAAGAATGTAAGAAAGAAATCAGTCCCAATTGAAGCACTCACACATTTTTGAAGAGGTAAGCTTTTCCTCTGCGGGAATGAAAAGCCTGGCCCAATTAAAAAAAAAAAAAAGATTATGAGACCCCAAAAGAATTGAACAGATAAAATGCAAGCAAGCAGTATACATGTACAGTGAAGTAAAAGAAACAGAAACAGCAATTTCATGAAGGAGAGGAGGGTTTTGGTTCACCTTCGAGACAAGGTGATCAGGGAGAGCTAAATGGGTCCCACAGAACTTGCATATGTAAGGACGACCCTCTAACTCCACCACAAATGTCTTCCCCATACCTTCCTGTTTTTCAATCGTTGATTTCAGCCCACCAGAGCAATTGCAGTTGCAGACCGGAGAAGTGTTAGACCGAAAGGGAGTTGTGGATGAGAACAAGGCATATGTTAAGACTGTCAGTACAGTGGCAAAGTTACACGTGCCTTAGTCTTTTTACCTTGTCTTGGCACTAGAATATTAATGGTAGAACTTCAACACCAAATGTTTGGTAGAGTTTGGCATTACATGCGAGTGTGTGACCTTTGGGTCATTCTATGACTCCATTCTCACTTCCTTCTTGGGCCCCCAGTAAATACCGTCAAACTCAAATTTCAGTTTTTTTTTTTTTTTAATGAAGATATTATTGATCAAATTTGAGTCATTTTTTAGATTGAGATGCTGAAATTATCATAAATGAATAACACTAAAGAATCCGTAAAAATACTAAAATGAAATTAATTTTTGAATTAAAAACATGACTGGTTATGCTCTAGATTTCCATATTGATTTTGAATTAAATGATCATAAATAATAAGGAGAAAAAAAAAAGTAAGTGTTAACCCATTGTTACTGTTAATGATCATCTTCATCTCCAAAGATGATGAGACTTTGTG